CGAGTTAGAGAGAGAGGGGGAGAGTGTTAGAGAGAGTGTGTGAGAGTGTTGGTGAGAGATAGCGAGTTAGAGTTAGTGAGAGAGTGTTTGAGAGAGAGAGTTTTTGAGAGAGAGTTTTTGAGAGAGAGTGTGTGTGTGTGAGAGAGAGTGTGTATGTGAGAGAGAGAGTGTGTGTGAGAGAGAGTGAGTGTGAGTGTGTGAGAGGGTGAGTGTGTGAGAGAGAGTGTGAGTGTGTGAGAGAGAGTGTGAGTGTGTGAGAGAGAGTGTGAGTGTGTGAGAGAGTGTGAGTGTGTGTGTGAGAGGGTGAGTGTGAGAGGGTGAGAGGGTGAGAGTGTGTGTGTGAGAGAGAGAGTGTGAGAGAGAGAGTGTGAGGGTGAGTGAGTGTGTGAGAGAGAGAGTGTGTGAGAGAGAGAGTGTGAGGGTGAGTGAGTGTGTGAGAGAGAGTGTGTGAGAGAGAGAGTGTGAGGGTGAGTGAGTGTGTGAGAGAGAGAGTGTGTGAGAGAGAGAGTGTGAGGGTGAGTGAGTGTGTGAGAGAGAGTGTGTGAGAGAGAGCGAGCGCGTTAGAGAGAGCGAGCGTGTTAGAGAGAGAGAGAGCGTGTTGGAGAGAGAGCGAGCGTGTTAGAGAGAGCGAGCGTGTTAGAGAGAGAGAGCGTGTTAGAGAGAGAGAGAGCGTGTTGGAGAGAGAGCGAGTGTTAGCGAGAGAGAGAGAGAGAGCGCGAGTGTTAGCGAGAGAGAGAGACAGCAAGTGTGAGAGAGAAAGTGTGAGAGAGAGAGAGATTGTGTGCGAGTGTGTGTGTGAGTGAGAGAGAGAGGGTGTTAGAGAGAGAGAGACCCCAATTTAGTGTGTCTTCCCAACTGGAGATATGGGATGGATTCGCTCCCTCCCATGGAAAATGCAGGGCTGTCACTACTGAATAAAGAATTACAGTAAAGCAGGCTGTAATTTCCCCCTGCTCTATGGAGGATACTGAACCAGCATTTAAGTACTATGGGCCCAATCGCAACTCAAGACAAGCAGGCAAAACTGACTTTCTCGTAAATGTTTGATGTCATTGGGAGATTCTAGCCAAGATTGAGTAATGCACATAAATCGCAAATTAGGATCAGTCCCTTGTTTTGTCCCAATCTGGAGTGCAACAGAAACAAAAAATATGGCAACCCAGAATTACAGGTTATTTGAAGGGCTTAGTTTAGGTTAAAAATCGAATAATAAAATAACCAACTGGTGAATTTCTGTCTTTCAGAGTGACGGTACGCTGCTAGCCACAGGCTCGTACGACGGCTTTGCCAGAATATGGACTAAAGACGGTAAGCCATTTTAAAGATGCACTACGGGCATTGCCAATTGTTTACATATAAGTTTTGCTTGAATAGTTTTAGGCAAACAATATAAGCTTTTGCTCAAGGGCGATGGGAGGAGTGCCCCTTTCTGTCCAATGAGGAGATTTCTGGACACTTTCTGTCCATTTAGGGGACCCCTTTTGGCTCGAGCAACATCTCAAGATTTCTAAACACAGAATCACAGATGGCCCATAGTCCTGTTCTCTCACTAAAAAAGCACAATGATGTGTTTTTTTGCAGGTAACCTTGCCAGTACTTTGGGCCAGCACAAAGGTCCTATATTTGCCCTCAAATGGAATAAGAAAGGGAACTTCATCCTCAGTGCAGGAGTAGATAAGGTAACATAATGGCTTTTGTGATAAAGACAGACAATTGGGTTTAAAATCCCTTTAAATTAATTTGATTTGTCATGGTGTGCTGTCATTCTGTCATTGGTCACTCGTGATGAAACTGACAATGTATCCATCTCCCGTTCAGACCACCATCATTTGGGACGCTCACACAGGAGAGGCTAAACAGCAGTTTCCCTTCCACTCAGCGCCTGCCCTGGACGTGGACTGGCAGAGCAACAACACGTTTGCCTCCTGCAGCACGGACATGTGCATCCACGTATGTAAGCTGGGCCAGGACCGGCCTGTCAAGACCTTCCAGGGACACACGGTAAGACCAGGGACTGACTGTCTGGCATGGATGCATCTCAATAGTCTCCGCTCCGTCACGTTGACATTGTGACTGACATTGATTCATCTCAATAGTCTAAAGTCCTCGTCTTCAAATGCACTGACCTGAATATAAAGGATAGCTGAAGGCTTTTGCCTATCCTGTTCATCACATCACTGCAGGAAGTACCTTTGTACAGTTGATGCACTCTTTTTGTGCACTGCTGTATTATAAAGGTCACAGTGTTTCCTTGTATCCCTCCCCATCACCCTTTCTCAATAGAATGAGGTGAACGCAATCAAGTGGGATCCCACGGGGAGTCTGCTGGCCTCCTGCTCTGACGACATGACACTCAAGGTCAGTACACACACACAGCTCAGAACAAGCTTCCTGACATCTTCCTGAATAAAAGTGACCTCTAGCTACTGTACTGGCAAATATGGATTTAGTGGAGTAAGAACAGATTCAAAGAAGTGTTACCGGGGGACAGTTGGCCCTAGTTTATAGGCCGTAACTAGAACCTCTTCTTCCCAAGTCGGTCCCATCGTGCTACATATAATTGATTAGAGTCCTCATATCTGTCTCTCTCCTCTCCCCTCTGTCTCTCTCTCCCTGCTCTCTGTCTCTCTCTATCTCTCCGCAGGAAAAAAAAGAGAGAAGCAAAAAAAAGAAGAGAGAGGTCTCTCCTCTCTCTCTCTCTTCCTCTTTTCTCTCTCCCCCTCCTCTCTTCTCTGTCTCTCCCCCCTCTCTCTCCTCTCTCTGTATGTCTCTCCTCTCTCTGTCTCTCTCTCCTCTCTCTGCCTCCTCTCTCTCCGTCTCTCTGTCTGTCTCTCCTCTCTCTCTCTCTCTCTGTCTCCTCTCTCTGTCTCTCTCCTCTCTGTCTCTCTCTGTCTCTCTCTCCTCTCTCTCCTCTCCTCTCCCCTCTCTCTGTCTCTCTCCTCTCTCTCCTCCCTCTCTCCCCCTCTCTCTCTCCCCTCTGTCTCTCTCCTCTCCCCTCTGTCTCTCTCCTCTCTCTCCTCTCTGTCTCTCTCCTCTTCCTCTGTCTCTATCAGATCTGGAGTATGAAGCAGGACACGTGTGTCCACGACCTGCAGGCTCACAGTAAGGAGATCTACACCATCAAGTGGAGCCCTACGGGGCCCGGGACCAACAACCCCAACGCCAACCTGATGCTGGCCAGGTAATAGAAGACTGGGAAACACTCCAACTCACAGCATTCCTCTGGGAAACACTCCAACTCCCAGTATGTCTCTGGGGTTTTTCTCATAAGAAGTTATGTATCATAAAAACCATTTAGGATCTGTACATAACTTAGTATGGAGTCATGTGTTCATCTCTGTGACATTCTGTTTGCCCCAGCTGAAGAAATAAAGATCTCAGGATAGTCACTGTAATCAAATATAAGTGAATGGATCTTATGTCCTTCCTTCCTCTTCCTAAATATCTCCAGGGGCGCTGCACCGTGCTCCCTTCCAAATGGGTGGTGTCTGGGAGGTTAGGAGCAGAAGATGAATTTCCAAGATGGATACTAATGTACTGTTTCTCTTCTCCCCAGCGCGTCGTTTGACTCGACGGTGCGTCTGTGGGACGTGGAGCGAGGCGTGTGTATCCACACACTTACCCGCCACCAGGAGCCCGTCTACAGTGTGGCCTTCAGCCCCGACGGGCGCCATCTGGCCAGCGGCTCCTTCGACAAGTGTGTCCACATCTGGAACACACAGGTACAGGATCGACTGACACAGACACTCGCTCATCTCACTCTTACGTCATTCACATATCAAGCCCAACTGTTTCTTGTAGGGCTAGTCTGGTGGTCGATGATCTGGATCTGCGTGCGTGACTCTGACTTTCACGTATATAATGCATTGATTTCAATGGGTGCATTGTGTGAAAATTTGAGTTACACATGTAAATCTAAATTTGAGTTAGGCTACATATGTCAATCTAAATTTGAGTTACACATGTAAATCTGGAGCTCAGCCCTTAGTGAGATGTGTAATAATGTAAACGTAATTGAAATTGAGTTGCCCCCAAATCCATTTTTCCTGGTCATTGTTTGGCTGATCACATCCCTGGCCCTCTGTCTGTCCCTCTGTCCAGACGGGTGTGTTAGTCCACAGCTATAGGGGAACGGGGGGCATCTTCGAGGTGTGCTGGAACGCCACGGGGGACAAGGTGGGAGCCAGCGCGTCAGACGGTTCGGTAAGTCTCACTAGCTGCCTCTTCATGGACACGGCCAGGAATTATTTCCCTGGTGTCAGGAGGAGCTAAGATGGAAAAACGTCAGACCCCAGTTAAAAGCTTTATCTAGGGCCCCAGGTGTTTCCTGCTTACGTCACGTGGTCCGGGTAAACGCCTGGCTTCATTTACGGCCACTGTTCATGAGCACCTATTAGTGATACTTTATATAGATCGTAGTACTGTGCTACTGATCTGTAGATGATCGGTTAACTACCTGTCCAGTATCCAGTGTCTGTTAGATTCATCTGGGGTCAAAGGGTACAGCTAGAGCAATAAACAGAATTGTTTACATGGCAACAGTTGCAGCTGTGGAGTAATGAATGAAACAGCTAGTTTGTCGATGGTCTTGAGCATCTACAGGTCATCTGTAAGGGATTGTCCAAGTAGTTCAACACCTTAGTGCCCTCCAAGCTCATCACTAAGCTCAGGAACCTGGGACTGAACACCTATGTTAAAGGGATACTTCAGGATTTTGGTAATGGGGCCATTTATCTACCTCCCCAGAGTTAGATGAACTCATGGATACCATTTTTATTTCTGTGTCCAGTATGAAGGAAGTTAAGAGGTAGATTCGCGAGCCAATGCCAACTGGCGCAATGACTGGAAGTCTATGGTATCTGCTAGCATATAGACTTCCAGTCATTGAGCTAATGATAGATAGCAATTGCGCTAGTTAGCCACTTCAAACTGCACGCAGAGACATAAAAATGTTCATCTGACTCTGGGGAAGTAGATAAAGGGCCTCATTACATATTACCTTTTAATGTTAATCTTTCTGGCTCTCTCTGTTCCAGGTTTGTGTATTAGACCTGAGGAAATGACGCTCGTTTGGGTAGCCATGGACCGACTACGAATGTGTACATAGCCAAAATGACTGTCCCTGCCTGTCGTCTACACTGCTGTAGTCCCATCAGAAGCCATGGCCTGCAATCACAACAACCACCACCACAGACAAACAGAGCGCCCAACACCCACATAAACACTTAAACTACCCCTCCAGAGAAGGGGTCAAACTAACCCCCAGCGAAGGGGGTCTGGCCCCCCCTCAAGTCAGACTCACAGGAGAGAAAAATGACTTTTACGTTCAGAGAAAATAATTCCAAAAGATCTGCTATCTGTTTACTTTAGTTTATTTTGATCCTTTATACCAGACATTAGAAATAGCTATTTTCCCTCACGTCGTTGGTGTGTGCATATTGTACATGTCAGCACGTTTTGTCGTCCTGTGGCCACTTTTTTTTGCCGTAGGTTTGTGTTACATGTCGGGGAAAGAGAGAAGAGGTCAGTAGGATTTTTGTTTATTCTACAATTTGGGGTTTGAAACTTTTTATTGGGAGAAATCCGTTCACTTTGGCACTGTAAAAAAAATTTTATGGCTCAAGAAAGCATTGGACAACAAATCTATATTTCAAAAGTTGAAATGGGTTAATTTGTTTTCAATTGTAATTTTGTTGCTTTTTTTTTTTTGTATTTGTCGGAGGGCAGTTAGTGAGGAGGAAAGCCCATTGCATCATTTTGCTTGTTTACCTTTAGAAATTGTTTCAGGTGTGCAAAACTGTTAGATCTCTGAACTAAAGATCATTACTGCAGCTACTACAAAACCCCATCCTCTCATATTCCAACTACGTTACTTTAGGTTTGAGTGTTACGTAGGAGGATAAGCTGATCCTCGATCTGTGCCTCCGTGGAGCTTTTATCCAGAACGTAAGAATGGCAGTGCTTTGGGTAGCTCATGAATCAATGCGACACAGGACAACCCCCATACAAACTCTGACGTCAAAGTTAGCCGGGAGTTTTCAGACCCGAAAGATGAGATTTGTCAATGTTCCAAGACTACTTTTGAGTCTTAAACTTCTGACCAGCTTAGATTTTGGAGTGAACCATTGTTTTAAGTGTTCTGTTTGAGGACGCACTGCTGTGTCTGCTCTTAGGTCATTGTTTAAAAATTGTGGATGATATGATTTTCTACCCAGCACCAACACTTGGAGACAGGCCTATGCATGGATAGATGGCGCTTTTTTTGTGGTGTTCAAAAGGTGATGTTTTTTTAAGCAAAAGTCTTGTTTGTTTGGTTTCTAGGCAGGGGGATGAGGTGAGACGCGGACTTTGGAACATATTACTTGATGAAACATTCTAACTACATATATATATATGTATATATATTTATATGTGTGTGTGTATATATATGTATATATATATATATATATGTGTATATATATGTATATATATATGTGTGTATATATATATGTGACATCACAGGGGATTCTTTTGTATGCCACTTATATGCAAGGGTGGTTTAGAAACATTCAGAGTAACTCAAAAACACGCTTGGAAAATTGTATTCTTATGCATCATCTGGGTCTTTCACCATGAGAAATGGTTCTTTATAAAATACCATTAAACGGTCATAGGTATAAAAGAGCAGCACTAAGAATGGGTTTGTGTTAGTTATTTTCTGCACTTAATAATAATGCGAAACAGGGAAATGTGTTCAAGCCAAGGTTTGGGTCAATTCCATTTTGATTAATTCTGGAAGTGAACTTCCAATTCAAGAATTGAATAAAATCTTTATTGAAAATGAATGGCGCCTTTTTTCCATTCTTGAATTGGAATTTGAGCTCATTTCCTGAATTTAAATGGAGTTGACCACCAACCCTGGTTGGTACATCCAGACTGAGGATAATGCTCTTAGTTTCATTTCACTCCCCTAGCTGAACGTGTGCAGTTGATCTGTGAAAAAGCGAGGGGGAATATTAGTGTCTAAACTGTTGACTTGCTGGGTACACATTGGATCCAGGCCAACTTCATGGCATTCCAACATACCATATCTTAGCCCTAGCTAACATCCTGTGGCTTTAAAACACCAATGTTTTTCTTTCTTTTTTTTCCCCAAAAGCCTCCTTTGTGATTTTTGTTCAGAAAGAATGTCACTTGTTTTACAAACATATTTTGTACAGAAGCTAGCTAAGAGTATTTTGAAGTTTGCTTTAATATAACCAACAGTGAGTGGATTGTACCATGAAGACTATTAGGAAGTCCGACAGTGGAATGGTATTTTATGTTTTGTTTTAAAAAAGATAATCTTTTTACACTGCATTCAAGTGTTTACTATTTCTTGTTCCTACCTAAAGTACTAATTATATCTTTGCTATGCCTAAAAAGCCCTTGAAGGTTTTGTACTCTTTGGAAAAACTTTTATAATTCTGATTTATTTGTAGCTATGTATGCAAAAATGAACAAAAACAATAAATCAAAACTTTAATGTGGACGTATCATAACACCCTGGACCATGTAGATAGATACCAGTACGCAGAATGTTTTGTTTCATGTCGTCTTTGCCCTCACCCATGTTATCTGCTGTCACTCACACAGATGCTGAGACTCTCTCTGCAACCTACGCATCTGACTGTTGTAATATCAATCAGATCTTTGAAACGTCTAGAATAAAAAATCTATTTTGATAATAGTCAAGTGTGGTTTTTTTCTGTTATAATATAATATAATAATATGCCATTTAGCAGACGCTTTTATCCAAAGCGACTTACAGTCATGCGTGCATACATTTTTGTGTATGGTGTGGTCCCGGGGATCGAACCCACTACCTTGGCGTTACAAGCGCCGTGCTCTACCAGTTGAGCTACAGAGGACCACTTGACTTGGTTTGTGTCTCATGACACCTAGAGGGCCTTTTGGTGTATTGCATTCTCCCTCTGAACGTAGTTAACGGTATGCACATCCCGTTTAGTAGTCTATCCTTGGTCATGGTACATTACATAGCGTAGTCCCTCAAGCACTTTCGGCACAGACAGATGGAGCCAGATGTCTCATAGGATGGATAAATCAGAAGCATCTGGTTAGAACTTCCACTCACCACCAATCATGGTTTTAAGTCTAGTGGCAGTAAGTGGGATCGATGAAACATCAGATCTTTAATACATTTTTCTGTCCCCAAAACTACAATCTGTTAAGAGCAGAGTGCACTAAGTTTTGTAGACTTGACCCTTTGCCAAAGTTTCAAAATATTGCGTTGTTTAGAAGGCATGCAAGGGTGAATTGAGTTATTGCACACACGCACTTCAGAGGCGTTCCCTAATGGAAATAAGCAAATATACTGAACAAAAATATAAACGCAACATGCAACAATTTCAAAGATTTTACTGGGCTACATTTCATATAAGGAAATCAGTCAATTGGAAATGCATTCATTAGGCCCTAAGCTATGGATTTCACATGACTGGGAATACAGATAACTTTTTTTTTTAAGGTATGGGGTGGATCAGAAAACCAGTCAGTCAGTATCTGGTGTGACCGCCATTTATTTGCCTCATGCAGCTCGACAAAACCTTTGCAAAGAGTTGATCAGATTGTTGATTGTGACCTGTAGAATGTTGTCTCACTCCTCTTCAATGGATGTGCGAAGTTGCTGGATATTGGAGGAAACTGGAACACGCTGTCATACAGGTTGATCCAGAGCAACCCAAACATGGTCAATGGGTGACGTGTCTGGTGAGTATGCAGGCCATGGAAGAACTGGGACAATTTCAGGTTCCAGGAATTGTGTACAGATCCTTGTGACATGGGGCCATGCATTATCATGCTGAAACATGAGGTTATGGATGCGGATGAATGGCAAGAAAATGGGCCTCAGGATCTCATCAAGGTATCTCTGTGCATTAAAATTGCCATCGATCAAATGCATTTGTCTTTGTCTGTAGTTTATGCCTGCCCATACCATAACCCCACTGCCACCAGGGGGCACTCTATTCACAAAGTTGACATCAGCAAACCGCTCGCCCACATTACATTTACATTTACGTCATTTAGCAGACGCTCTTATCCAGAGCGACTTACAGTTAGTGCATACATTATTCTTTTTTTTCTTCCATACTGGCCCCCCATGGGAATCGAACCCACAACCCTGGCGTTGCAAACGCCATGCTCTACCAACTGAGCTACCTCCCTGCTGGCCATTCCCTCCCCTACCCTGGACGACGCTGGGCCAATTGTGCGCCGCCCCATTGGTCTCCCGG